AAATGTAAGGGTTAATTACTCGTCCACGTGTTAAGCAGCAACAAGTCACTGTCAAGTATTTTCGCGCCATTTCATAAGTTTGGCTATTGAAAATAATATTTAATTCCAGCCTTTCATAAGCAGCTAAATAATAATTCGTGTGTTTTTACGCTAATGTGACATGAGTCGCTTTTACACACCTGGCAATCTCCTGATGATAGTCATACTCCTCGCTTTCCTCAACCCAGTCCAGCGCTCCTGTTGTTGGATTTGCACGACCGCAAAACGTCTTCATTGTCTTTTCAGTATAAGTAAATAAAAGTATGCGTAAAAATTGTTACGTTCAATAAATATTTAATCGTTCACAGGCAGACAAATCCAACATGATCTCTCCGGGCGCGGCCATGTTTTTTCGCGAAGTCACGCCTCTAAAAACACGTGACCAACTCTCGTGTTCGGTCATTCAACCAAAATACAAACATGATGTGTTTTGTCATTGTTAATGCGTTAAGAGCTAAGGTACAACGATACGGTCGCTGATTCGAGTCCCGCCAGCAGGCATGTCTGTGTGGATTTTGCATGTGTTCATGTCCTACAACTAAATTAGCCTTAGTGTATGTGTGTGAATAAATGAGTGTTTAGATGTTTCCCAGTACTTGGTTGCAGCTGGAAGGGCATCCGCTGTGTAAAACATATGCTCGATAAGTTGGCGGTTCATTCCGCTGTGGTGACTGACTACTGATGAATAAAGGAACTAACCAAATGACAATTAAATGAGGTAAGATACAAATGAAAGGTTTGATGTTAAACTCTGGTAAGTTTTAGCTCTTATGAAAATTACAATAGGTTTACTACAAATAATAATAATAATAATAATAATAATAATAATAATAAAACAACAAAAACAATCAAAACAACATGGTTATTGTAGAAAAAACTAAAAAAGATTAATCATGATTTTGCTACACTTTAATCATAGTTGTGCCACTGTTTGTTATGCTACAAATATGAATGTGCAATAAATAAATGTAACACTTGTAACACTTCATTAGGGAGTGGAAATGAAGTTCAAACCTTCTGTGTTTCCCTCAGTCTTGGGAGGATTTATTATAAAACTATATTAAAGTTGCTATAGACTGTACAGAATGTGTTACAGTTGTCTTAATCGCTGATATTTATATTCTTCTCAATAATGGACACAAATTTTCTTTGCAGATTTTGCTGTGAACACATTATTTACATGCAACCAAAGAGATAGATGCATCAAAAATTAATGGTTTAACATTTAAATTTAATTATAATTTATTTGACAGTAGTGTTATTATTATTTCCCATCTTTGTAACCAGATTTCCCCCATGTCTAAATATTATTATGAATAAGATCCTTTATATAATATTGACTGATGAAAATTATTGCATCATGGTAGTGTTTTGAGATGTTAATACATCCATTTATTCATTTTCCTTCGACTTAGTCTCTTATTTATCAGGGGTTGCCACAGCAGAATGAACCACTAACTGTTCCAGCATATGTCTTACACAGTAGATGCCCTTCCAGCCACAACCTAGTACTGGGAAACAACCATACACTCTCACATTAACACACACTCATACACTATGACCAACTTTGCTTACCCAATTAACTTATAGTGCATGTGTTTAGATAGTGGGGGAAACCAGAGCACCCGGAGGAAACCCATGTGAACACGGGGAGAACATGCAAACTCCACACAGAAATGCCAACTGGTCCAGGTGAGACTCCAACCACCAACCTTCTTGCTGTGGGGCGCTGTGCTGTCATTCTCTTACAGTACATTAACAACCAACCGTTAGTGTAAAACCCTTGATTTAATGAATCCATGAATCAATTTTGATACATTGAGTTTAAAAATGCATTACTTTATTAACTGACAACCACAATATACACAAAGTGAACCACAATATACACGTTTACAGGGATGCTGTTTGGTCAGATTGACTAAAATATACATTCAAAAAGTGATTATAAATCCAATGAGCCAGTTTCCCTGCATTCTTGTATCTGTGTTGTCAAATTATTATACCAATTGTTTTGTAGGAAAGCATTTGCAAGATCATAATGTAGTATAATTTATCATCATAATGGCACTGAGCAGGCAAGACAGCACAGAAACCGATAGGCTAGTCCTAATGGATAGAGTTGAATTAATAATGAAGTTCCTGTCCATATGGCCGGATACAGTTCACGTAGTTGGTTTCTCAAGTGCACTTTGCAGTAGGCAGACAAAATGGAATGCTAGAAGAGGGCACCAGGATTTCTGTGAATATAGGCCTGTATCCTGGTGGTAAAGGTGGTGCGCTCTGATCCAGAAAATCTAATACAGACTTCCGCACTTCTTTAGGTACGTCACCTCTTATATCCAACAGCACAGAGACATGCTCCTCACTGAAAACACACACTTCGTTAATGACAATAAATAGCATCTCCTAGTAAAAAAAAATCCGGTTTTACTTTATGAAGATCTGTTAGGTTTGAAGTCCCACCTTATATCAGGGTACTTGGATAATAATCCAGAAATCTCTAGTAGTAGCATGCCTGGGTCTTTCAAATTGATTATGTCAGCCAGTGCAGCTATCAAAGCCGTGGGATTCACCTCGCCAATGGTCCCATCAATCTCCTTTAGATGTAAAAATGATATTAGAGAAGTTATTTAACTTTATTTTATGCAGGAGTGTCCAGAGTGTCTGTAGAATCCTGTTTCTATGATTTTTCATTCAGACCTTTAGATGGTTCAAGTCTGTTTCATTAGAGTTCATTTATTTTCCTTCAACTTTGTCCCTTATTTATCAGGGGTCACCACAGCTGAATGAATCGTTAAATTAGCCAGCATATGTTTTATGCAGTGGATGTCCTTCCAGCCACAAACCAGTACTGGGAAAAGGGATAATTCACACACAAAAAAAATTCATGGCCCGTTTTCACTGAGTGGTATGGTATAGTATGGTACATTTATATGGCTATTTCCACTGTCAAAAGGTACCAAAAAGTGAACCGTACCATACTGCTTTTTGGCTACCCTTTCGGAAGTGTACCTAGCATAACAAAAGGTTATTAAAAGGCGGAGCCAGACACGCAGCTGAATGCTATTGGTTTACAGAGAGAGGTCACAGCGCGTCCACAAGCAGGAGAATTAAAACAAAGGAAGTGCCATTTTTAAATACACAGCCGAGACTTTACAGCGCAATAATATATACATATAACAACGAGCTATGGTCGATCCAAGCTTAAACAAACCTTGTCGTCATCATGATGAACAGCCACAAAGCCAAGAAGAAGAGCAGAATCTACCCTGTGCACCATAATTGTTTACAAGGCCGTCTAAAGCACAAACGGTTTAACTTTCAGCGTCTATATTTGAAATAACAAACTTCTTGATAATAACGTGCGCGTGATTATTGAAGTGCTTCTGACAACTGATCCTTTCAGAAATAGACAAATGCGAGAGTCAGTGCAAAAAAACAAAGGAGAAGTCAAAAAAAAAAAAACAAAGTAGCAAATGATTCTTTCAGCAACCTAAAACATAAAAATACTGTCATGTTTAACTATTATCATCACCTTCTGGACTATTATGAACTCGGAATGACAAAATTATTTAAAAGTGGTTACATGTGATGGTGAAGATTAAAGACACATGTTGTGAGTTGGTTTTGAACCAAAATAAGGACTAAATGTATTCTGTGTCTAGTTTATCTGTAATTGGTAACATATCAGAGACTGTAAGGGTCAGTATGTGTTTATATATGTTGCATTTATTTATTTATTTTATATAATTGCAGACGTTACATTAGGCTGATCATTGATCTACAGTTATAATCAAATCAAATCAAGTATTTATTAATCATGTATGTTATTCAAATATAATCAAATCAAATAAAATCATGTATATGGAAAGGTTAGTAATAAATGTTTATACACAAGTATTTGTGTGTGTAAAGCATCTGTTTTGTGAGAAGTGCTTCTCATTTGAAATGTGAACGACCCGTACAGCTTTACTTTGACATTTCCTCGAGCGAGAATGATGTCCACTGAAAGTTTCTGTCTCAGACCACACCCACCATAAGAATACCATTGGTACCTTTTTGGCAGTGGAAAGGCAAGCCTGATAAAGGTGACCCGAACCGACCCGTACTGTACCACTCAGTGAAAATGGGCCATTAGAGGCACTTAATGTGTTTTTTTCTGATCGGATAGCTATTTCATTGTGAAATAGCTAGGTTGTGAAATAGCTAGGTGTAAATGGCCTGTAATGTGCATTCGAGATGGATATAAATACAATCGCTCAAGCAACTTCAGGAGGTAGTCTGGGAGGCATTCTAGACAAAACTGGACAGGTTGATTTTAACCTACATATAAACAATTTTTATGCTAAATAAGATCTATAGATTCTGTAAAAACAAATATTATTTAGATAAAATATGGTGTATCTGATGGTTTTAATTGACGTAACCTAGTAAAATTGAATAAAGCGTGGGATTTGAAGATCAGAATCATGTCTGTTTATGTGGCCAAATGTAAATGGAGCCATTTTCACAAAACAAATGCATCAAATGAATGTATTGATCAGGTGTAAATAGGATTATACTCTACCTTATGTTGTTCCAAATCTGCTTGAGTTTTGTTTTTATGTGTTCTAGAAAACATTGACATCAATCGTAGAAAAAAAAAAAACACAACAACAAAAACCATGGAAGTAAATGGCTATCGGTTTCCATAATATCTTGCTATGCATTAAACAAAGATAGAAACTCTAGCAGGTTTGGAACAAGTGAATGGTGAATGAATGATGAAAGAATTTTCATGTCAGAGTGAACTGCCCCTTTAAAATATGAAGGACATTCCTGTTTTTGTGCTAGTTTATAGATAATCAGTTATTATGCGTCAGGTTTGGCCAAACCTTGGGCTAGACCAGGTCACAAACAGATTTGTTTGAGGGATTTTGTTGTTGAGTTTAAAAAATAAATGAATGTTAATGAGCCTTCACCATGCTCTGAAGGTGGTCCCTGAGCTGTTGGGCATCCTGTGTCATTCGCTGGGCCAGCTGCTTTTGCTCATCGCTACTTCTGCAGACCAATCTCTTCTGCATCACTGCTCGGACATACTCAACAACAGTTAGCCACTGGCATTCCTCCTTTAACCTCTGTAGATGATAGAGATTGCATTTAGGGTTCATTTCTCACTTATAGGAGTAGTTTTTAAGACTGTCATTTCAGTAAACACTAACCTGGCGACAAGGTTGTCGCACTCTGTTGTAAAGTTCACAGTGACGTTCTAGAACCCCACACATATTTAGGGTCACATCTCCCTGGTCCAGCCAGGTACTAGAGAGGAGCTCTTGTAGATGTGGTTGCAACTCAAACAAGAGATGATCCATAACTAAACGACATGCCTTTCTTACAGCACGGTCCAGGGCAGCCAGAGGTCCAAGTGGGATACGTGAATACCGGTTTGAAACGAAGGAGCAAATCTGCTGCTGCAGACTTTCTGTAGAGGTTCTGGATGTGCATTTAAAGTACAAATTTAAACACTTATAAAAGTGCTTGAAACGCACATTTTCAAACAAGCTTCACATAAATACAGACATACTGTAAAAAGATACTTGTACACCATCTCACTTGAGAATGATGCAGTTGTTGATGCAGGCCAGGAGGTAATGGAGGTAGAACTTGTTAACAGTTGGATCCTTGCGATGCTCCTTACCAAATTCTATGACTGCGTCTCGAAATCTGTTTAGATGTAGCGAGAGAAAAATCACAAAAACATTGAAACTCAACCGTTATAATTGTGATATCCTGGTATTGCTAAACATACAAACCGACTGAGGAGCTTCTCCATCTCATAAAGACCCATTTGGATTGTCTGGTCCCGCAGAGCTTCACTTATCATCAAGGCCACTCGTGCATTCTCTTCTAGCATCTATCAATCCAGATTCATAAATATCAGTGGTGAAATCAGACAAAATCTTGCTTACTGTAGATCAAGCCATAAAGTACCTGAGTGATGATAGTTGGAAGGCTAGTGTGGTAGTAGCCCTCATGGTCAATATCTGGTTCCTGATCCCTCTGCCAGTCTGTTAGCTCCACTTCTAGAGCCTTTTGCATCCACTCCGAGACGCTCTTCTACACAATCACAGTCAAACTTCTCAAAAACTTGTGGTTTGTTAATACAGACAAGATGTGGAAAAGGTTAAACGTCTAGAAACAATGCTGGATCTTACCCGAACTTTTTGGACATATTTGTTTTGCAGCTGCTCAAGACCTTCCTGAGATATGAGAGGACCCAGGTTCTCAATTTCTAGTTCAGCTAAAAGGGCTGGCTCACCCATCATCTCTGAGCTTAAAGAACACATTTGAATGTACAAGACTGCTTTTTTACAAGTAAGAAAAAATTAGATATAACTTTAGGATGTACTTACCTGTTGTATATGTGCAAAACCCAGTTAAGAACAGCAAAGATTTCCCCACCCTCTAACTCCCATCCACTAACCAGTCCAAGATGGGTTTGCAGAAACTGGTGGCAGAAGTGCAAGTAAGCTCTAGTTAAATGGTAGTGAGCTGGAACACATTGTTCCAAACAATGCCGCACTGTTGAGAGATCTCCCATAATGCAGTGCTGCAGTGCAGACAAATGACTTGCAAGTCCTGGTCCTCGAGTGTGCAAGTAGGACACACTACGGAAGCGTGCTGACACTGCCTCTTCCATCACCTAACCAAAAAGTTTACACAAGTACAAATTAATTGGATTCGAATTTGGAAGCCTTTATGATTTTAGTTGTATTTCTACAAATAGCCAATACAAATTGACCAAATAGTCAATGCTTATCAATAAAACCTTAAAGAATCGGTCTCTCCAATTACGTGGTCTTCCTGCTGGCATGGGTATGTTGTGTCCGGAAGTTGACCTTCGCTCCTCTAGAAAGAACTGATCTAGTGCTTCTTCACGTTCCACTATTCGTACAGCTGAGACAAAAGGTGTTGGGTTCTGATGAGCAAGTGACAACCCGCTACCCACCACTGCCCAGAGCTCCTTGGCAAGGGCATCTACCAACCGTCCAACTCCTGAAAAATAATTCCGCACCAACTCCTCATCCTCAGAGTTCAACTCTGTTCCGGATGATCCCCTGGGTCCCTGGAGCTGTAGCAGTACCTCATCCTGCCAGCGCTCTAGTTCCATTAGCCGAGCATGAGCTTCCAATAGTCTCCGAGACTCCACTAGCCTTTCTGTCTCTAGCACCATACTCCGTACTAATAAAATAGAGAAGAACAGCAAATAGTTTTGCATTAGTGTAAAAACCTTGATATTTCAGTGGGTGATGGCCAGTGTTATCAGCTGTCTAACAATAAACATGTCAGTTTTAATGTCAATATTCTTGTTCTGGCTTTGTAGACTTTGTAGAAAACTCAACAGAGAACAATTTCATATGTATGTAATATATAGACCTGATGTTAGGCAAGAGTGTGTCCTCCAGGTTGCTATCCTGCAAGATTTAGCGCCCTTAATTTAATTAAGCAAACTAATTTATTCATTTATTCATTACTCTTCTCCAGACAGGTATGCTGGAACAAGTTGCAGCTATATTATACAGATCAAGGACTGGACACATCCTCTCTAAGAGATCCAAGGCATAATTCCATAAAGAGGATGTAATCTAGACATAATGTGCATAATGAGTGGGCAGTCCCTAACCTTTGTAGAGTCGAGGCAGGTTGCTTACTGCAGCAAGAAGCTGACAGTGACTGACAGAAATCTCCCGAAGTGTTTCCAGTGTAGTTACTTCTTCAGAATTTTTCCTGGACTCCAAGTTTGCCTTGTACAAGTCATGTGACACACCTCTTAGCTCAGCTCGTGCCTCTCGCAATTGACCAAGACCCCAGTCAACACCCTCCAGGTAGGACTGTACAACTGACTAAAGAAAAAATGTATAAGATTAATTGACATTTTTTATGCAAAGATTTTTAAAGGCTTTCTAATTGACCAATTATCAGTACTTACCTTTAACCTTGACTGAATTGATGCAGTTCGCTGACTCTCTCTTTTCTTGTACTGCCCAAGTTTCTCCAGATGCTCTGGACGACAAAAGACACCTGAAGCCCATTTCAGCGCAGCACCCCGTGCCAAACATTCAGCCCTTTCCAGCTCTTGCCACACCTCGACTGGGACAAGGGCCTCTGTCAATCAAAATTGAAAAAAAAAAAATATGTAGCCCTTATGTTACGAAACTAGACAAGCTTCAATTGTGAAATCAATAGTGAATTGAACAGTTGTTCAGCCACCTGACTTGGTCAGTGAATGACTTAAACACTAGAATTCTTTATTTTTCCTGGTGGTCATGAGACAGACAAGATTTTAACAATCAGCGCAAGACTACATTAGCTAAAAGTGGTTGACATCAGCTAAGTCTGCAGATGAATTGATCTCTTCTCCAAAGAATGACTCATATGTGTTCTGATCATTTCTATGTCAAAAGTTTCAGAATTTCCATTTCATATGCCTTAATCCCATGGGTGTTCATGAGCTGAAACACCCACTGGGAAGTATGTAGGAATTCAATTACTGAGACACAGCTTTTAGGGCATGATAAATGACATATATATATATATATATATATGACAGCATCATGCAAAACACTCTCAGAGGTTCATAATGCAGTGACCAATTGCAAGAGCTTGCCAGCTATTCAAACTAACCAGATACTTTTTTATCAGCCTTAAAAAAAAGCTAATGTTTCTTTTAACATTACACATGTAAACCTTGTATTTAATTGAACACATACTGTTTACCGATGATCATACAATAACATGTAAGTAAAAATATTGTTTGGAATATATTTAATGTCTAAAAGGAGAAACTGAAACATTGATCAATAGTTAGACTTCGTTATTTGCGAAATTAAATGGTGTAGCTGTGCTGTCCATCATGTTGGTAACAGTCTTCTTTTATTTATGGCTTGTTCTTTGGAATTGTGGATAGTGAAGTACCAGGAAATCAACTAATGATTTACAGTTTGTTCAAAAACCATATTCCTTTGCTTCAGAGGCTATTGTAGCCATGTCCATAAAGTTTTATACATTAAAACTCATGAATCATTGGTATTTTTCTTTACATATCGCTACACCTCTATATATTAGCCCTTAACTGTCCTGTGCTCTGGCTTGTTACAAATCTGACAAACAGTCAAGGCACTTGGTGTTCTGGGGTAGGGGGTCAATTATGAAGCTTTCCCTGGCAGAAACATGCTGCTTATATTTAATTTTATGACTTACTTTCATTCCTTCCTTTATCCTGAAGGCAAATACACACTCGAGATCTCTCTACCAGTGCAAAATGATTACATTAGAAACAAACTCCAAATCTCAGCAGTGCGAACAAACAGAAAGATTGTGTACCTTCATGATTGTCTCGGCCATTCTTGTCTCCGTCTGACATTTAGGCTTGTTGTTCCACCGTTCCACTTCTAAGAGACTGCCCTGCCCAGAGGGCCTGCTCAGTGCAGCTAGATAGAGCAATCAGCAGATACAGAGAGCGTAACAAGGGGGAAGAAGAGAGAGGGTACATACCCACTTCACCGCCAGCCTTCCTCTCACACTCCCAGACACATCCTCTGCTCAGAGGCCGGCAGGAAGGGAAGGGAGGAAGGGAGAGAGCGCAAGAGGGACGGAGGGAAAGCGGGCACTCCGCCCTCTAAATGATCCAGATGGTGAGTGTGGGGGTGGCCTTCATGTGCAACAGTGCCTCTCTGTGTCTGAGGTAGATATAATCCAATATGTTTCAGAGGAAGTGCTCGGGATAATCGAACAAAGGTTTTACATGGCTTGACATAATCATGCCAATCAGTTCTATTGTTGCAGAAAGTTCTTGCCGATAGCTTGTTATCGCTCACAGCTGCTGGTTGTAGAGCAAACATGATAGGAATCCAGGTTCAGAGGCCCCTTAATGAATGTGTTTATTTGTGTAAGTGTCGTGGCCTGTGACTTATCCCATGACTGTGTTTTTGCCTTTATCTATTCTCCAGACTAGTCGCCACCAAACACAAACCCATACAAACATCACAAAATTAAGTATGAATCCACAAACACAGCTGATGTAAGTAAGTGTATAAAAATAGACTATAAAAGTTTCTGGAATTGTAAATTGAGCGTGTCTGCAATTTAAAATTCATAGATTGATTAAAAGGCTTTGGTGTCTCTGGGCACTAATACTAATACTTCTGCAGTCCATATTCTGCAACAGCTTGTGTATTGTCATTCTGACATAATTTTACTCATTAAAGGGCACCTATTATACCTTTTTTCAAGATTTAAGATAAGTGTTTTGTGTCTCTAGAAAGTGTCTGTAAAGTTTCAGCAAAAAACATCAGGGGCCTCATGTACGAAGACTTGCGTGGAAATCTTACTAAAACATTGCGTACGCACAAAGCTGTAAATGTGCGTACGCAGAAAAAAGTTCAGGGGCCTCATGTACGAAGACTTGCGTGGAAATCTTACTAAAACATTGCGTACGCACAAAGCTGTAAATGTGCGTACGCAGAAAAAATTTCAGATGTATGAAACACTGCGTACGCCGAATCTCACGCATATTCTTTTGTACATCTGAATGAACGTGAAACTGAGCGCAACATGCACGAGCACAAAACCCCTCCCTGCCTCCTCCCCCGTATGAATATGCTAATGACTATGCTAATGGCAAACTCAACGAAAAAGCAATGGCAAAAGCAAACAAAAAGAGAAACTTTGAACAGAATGTGAATTGGAGGTGCTGCTTTCGGAGGTAGACCGGAGAAAAGCGGTGTTATTTGCAAGTTTGTTTTCTGGAATTAACAACAAAAGAAAAAAATAGAGTGGGAGAGTTTGGCTGATGCGGTTAACACAGTTGGGTCTGAACATCGCACTGAGTGCATTGAAAAAAAGACATAGTGTGGTTTATATCTGTAAAATGTTGCAGCACCCTCAACAGTTTCAGTGGCGCTACTCGTTAGACGCATGTGATCATGAATAGACACGTTCGAGCATGAACTCGGCTCGAATCCAGCGTCTGATGAACTCTTTCTTGGTTTTTCCCCCGCTACATATCAGATTTTGCCAACTATTTATCACGAGAAAGACAAGTAGGAATCATCAATAAGTTCATATCAATAAGCATCATATTTTATTTGCACATTTATTGAATGGAAATGTTTCTGATTCACGCATGCAAATTCATCTTCAGATAGTGTCTTTATAGCAATGTGCGTGCGGTAGATCGCTCAGATTACATTGGGAAAACAGGCGACTGCTGCAAATTGTGCTTTAATGTTTGGCTGGTCAAATGTATGTTATGGAAACCTTATATACCTGCTGAACCCGTCTCATACAGCTGCCATTGCAAGGCTCAGACACTTTGTAGAGAGGAATTTAACACAACTGCCTCTAGGAGTCGCCAATGGAAATAAAACACACACGCACAAAAAATGTGCGTACGCCTGCCAGAAAGCTGCCGTGAACCTGCGCACATTCTCACGTTCAGTTCATTGTTAGTAAATCCAAACGTGAGCGATTGTGAGCGTGAAACCTGGCGTACGCAAAGTTTTTGTGCGTACGCAGCGTTGATACATGAGGCCCCAGGGGCCTCATGTACGAAGACTTGCGTGGAAATCTTACTAAAACATTGCGTACGCACAAAGCTGTAAATGTGCGTACGCAGAAAAAAATTCAGATGTATGAAACACTGCGTACGCCGAATCTCACGCATATTCTTTTGTACATCTGAATGAACGTGAAACTGAGCGCAACATGCACGAGCACAAAACCCCTCCCTGCCTCCTCCCCTGTATGAATATGCTAATGACTATGCTAATGGAAAAACCCAACGAAAAAGCAATGGCAAAAGTAAGCAAAAAGAGAAACTTTGAACAGAATGTGAATTGGAGGTGCTGCTTTCGGAGGTAGACCGGAGAAAAGCGGTGTTATTTGCAAGTTTGTTCTCCGGAATTAACAACAAAAGAAAAAAATAGAGTGGGAGAGTTTAGCTGATGCGGTTAACACAGTTGGGTCTGAACCATAGACTGTCTGAACATCGCACTGAGTGCATTAAAGATAGAAATAGTGTGGTTTATATCTGTAAAGTGTTGCGAAACCCCTACCAGACTCAGTGGCGCACCTAGTAAGACGCATGAGATCATGACTAGTTACGTTCGAGCATGAACTCGCCTGGAATCCAGCGTCTGATGAACTCTTTCTTGTTTTTTCCCCCGCAACATATCAGATTTTGCCCACTATTTATCACGAGAAAGACAAGTAGGAATCATCAATAAGTTCATATCAATAAGCATCATATTTTATTTGCACATTTATTGAATGGAAATGTTTCTGATTCACGCATGCAAATTCATCTTCAGATAGTGTCTTTATAGCAATGTGCGTGCAGTAGATCGCTCAGATTACATTGGGAAAACAGGCGACTGCTGCAAATTGTGCTTTAATGTTTGGCTGGTCAAATGTATGGTATGGAAACCTTATATACCTGCTGAACCCGTCTCACAGCTTCCATTGCAAGGCTCAGACACTTTGTAGAGAGGAATTTAACACAACTGCCTCTAGGAGTCGCCAATGGAAATAAAACAGACACGCACAAAAAATGTGCGTACGCCTGCCAGAAAGCTGCCGTGAACCTGCGCACATTCCCACGTTCAGTTCATTGTTAGTAAATCCAAACGTGAGCGATTCTGAGCGTGAAACCTGGCGTACGCAAAGTTTTTGTGCGTACGCAGCGTTGATACATGAGGCCCCAGATGTATGAAACACTGCGTACGCCGAATCTCACGCATATTCTTTTGTACATCTGAATGAACGTGAAACTGAGCGCAACATGCACGAGCACAAAACCCCTCCCTGCCTCCTCCCCCGTATGAATATGCTAATGGAAAAACCCAACGAAAAAGCAATGGCAAAAGCAAGCAAAAAGAGAAACATTGAACAGAATGTGAATTGGAGGTGCTGCTTTCGGAGGTAGACCAGGGAAAAGCGGTGTTATTTGCAAGTTTGTTCTCCGGAATTAACAACAAAAGAAAAAAATAGAGTGGGAGAGTTTAGCTGATGCGGTCAACACAGTTGGGTCTGAACATCGCACTGAGTGCATTAACAAAAGAAATAGTGTGGTTTATATCTGTAAAATGTTGCAGTACGCTTAACAGTCTCAGTGGCGCTACTCGTAAGACGAATGTGATCATGAATTGATACGTTCGAGCATGAACTCGGCTCGAATCCAGCGTCTGATGAACTCATTCTTGTTTTTTCCCCCGCTACATATCAGATTTTGCCAACTATTTATCACGAGAAAGACAAGTAGGAATCATCAATAAGTTCATATCAATAAGCATCATATTTTATTTGCACATTTATTGAATGGAAATGTTTCTGATTCACGCATGCAAATTCATCTTCAGATAGTGTCTTTATAGCAATGTGCGTGCGGTAGATCGCTCAGATTACATTGGGAAAACAGGCGACTGCTGCAAATTGTGCTTTAATGTTTGGCTGGTCAAATGTATGGTATGGAAACCTTATATACCTGCTGAACCCGTCTCATACAGCTGCCATTGCAAGGCTCAGACACTTTGTAGAGAGGAATTTAACACAACTGCCTCTAGGAGTCGCCAATGGAAATAAAACAGACACGCACAAAAAATGTGCGTACGCCTGCCAGAAAGCTGCCGTGAAGCTGCGCACATTCCCACGTTCAGTTCATTGTTAGTAAATCCAAACGTGAGCGATTCTGAGCGTGAAACCTGGCGTACGCAAAGTTTTTGTGCGTACGCAGCGTTGATACATGAGGCCCCAGATTATTTATTATAACACTATTTAACACTATGTAGCTATTTTTGCTGCCTGTGCCTTTAATGCTAGTTTTCCCTGCCCACCGCTCTCCAGTGTCTGTCAGAGTATGCATCAATCTCCGCCTCTGCTGCATCAGATAAACAGCACAGTGACAGACATAAAGGAAGCAGATCCTGTGTAACATTTTTGAGAAATACTACAGTAAGAACTTTCCCAATGATTATTTGATGTATTTGTTGTGGAGTTAATTCAAGTCTTTCTGCATTGATGAGTCACACACAATGTCGTTCCAAAGTTCACTCACACACACAGTGGATGCACACACAGCGCACGCGTTTAACTTTGCACTAACGGATGTCCGTTATGTAAATGTACAAAATAAACCTGATTTAATGTCCACAAACTGGGATTGAATTGTCGTCTTTTATAATTGTACTGACATGCGTCAGTGGTGATAAATTACAGCAATTTTACCGTCTTTAACTTTATTACAAACATGCACTGTTTTAAAAACCTTTAAATACTTGTAAAACTCATGCTTGATTTTTTTTCATGATGATTGATGATAACAGCGAACTCAACATATCTTTTAATCGCAGTTGCTTTGATATAATTATATGCGCTTCTACAGACACATGTTAATACGTGGCTGTCAATCAATTCGGTGGGCGGGAAAACTACACTTCTACGTTGCAGTGGGCCTCAAAATGGGAGGGATTTAGATCCAATTTTAACGTAATGAAATTTAAAAAAAGAGACTTATTATCTTCATATCACCCCAATATGACTGTGGACACATTAAACCTACACACAGTTCTGTCCAAACAGCTTTCAAAAGATGATTTTCATCACAGGTGCCCTTTAAAGTATTTACCAGGCTTTACAGTAAAAAGTTAACACTGAAATATCCAGTAAATGAACATCCTCTCAGTGTGAATACTATAATTTACACTTTACAAATTACCCATGTGGTTTATTTAATTATTCATATTGCCGAAAATTTTACGAGACATTGAGGGGCAAAATTGTGTACTCTCAAAATGAATAAACTAGTACATTTGTTTATTCATTTATTTTATATTATTTTACTTATAAATTAATTTCCATTGGTTCGATTCTGATTGATCTGTGCTCCTTAATAGTTTGCAAGCCTTTTAAAGTAAATTTCGAAAGATGGACTTGCGTTTTTATTGCTTTTCCATAGCAGTTTGTGCTAAAAATAGTTATGACTAGACTGTTGTTTGTGCAAGAGCACCAAAATAAGCAGAGGACTCAGACTAACAAAGCCTTTCCGCTGAAGCTAATAGGTCCCTTCAGACTGAGATGTAACTTCTCGTATAAGGGTGGCGGAGATACATTCATTACAACTACCAAACAAATATACTCAGAACAAGAGTTACTTCTGCCAGTTTATCCTTAAATTTTGCCATCCCTTTGGTAATGTAATATCAGCTGT